TTAATTTTAAAGACTTAGTTAAGTCAATAAAGCATTATTTAATTACAAGAGGAGCTTTATTATTTAATTACAAAGTGGAATTTTACACATAATACTTTAAAAAGACCATGGGCCTGTTTGGGCTCGATTTTTTCATCCAGAAAATTAATTTTTTGATCGTTATTTTACTATTCTAGCCGTCATATTTGACTTCTTCTCGCACAAGTGGACCCCACTTTTTTCCTAACGGTCAAAAAATCAATTCTCAAAATCACTCCCAAACAGGCTCCATGTAATGTCAATATTAGAAAAAAACAAAATCAATGTTGTTAAAATAAAATTAAAATAATAATAATAATAATAATTGTACCAAACCAACCATGTACAAATGACTTCAATTTCAGAATCCTATAATCTCCTCTGAAATCACCAACTGATAAAATTAAATGCTGAAAATTTCGATTAAAGGAAATGACAGATAGCATACAATATTTTAAATCTACATTCATAGCACTTATGGATCCTTTGGCAAAACATGCTACATGGAAAAAAATAATAATAATAATAATAATTCAGCTTAAAATTTAGTCCAAGGAAATTCCTTTACTTAACGTTCAAATACTGCTTGATATACAAAGTATTTGTGAATGACCCATCTTGTGAGAGGCGCTTCTTTAATTTGACTTCTCCCTTTAATCAAAGTAGTCTTAAATTAATTAATGATTGTGATCACACCAGAAGAAGTTTTAAGCACTAGCAGAAAATATTGCAATTGATAAAACTGTTAAACATACTGTATCAACATCAAGTAAAGATTACAAAGCGACTGTAAAAAGTGTATAAACCTTAAAGCCATAAGCAACATAAAAGACAAACTATCAAGAAATTGAAAAACTACTACTCCTAACACCTCCACAAACTCTCTTTGTTGCCGAAAGGAAATTAGGAGTTAAAAATATGGTACCACTTCGTTCAATCTTCTAATAAAGTAACTCATCAAAGTAAAAGTCGATTTAATAATGTAAAATTTGTCTATTCTTCTAGGAATAACGTTTTTCTTATACGTCAAGGTTGAGTCACTCGGCACTCCTCTATGCAGGATTAAGACAAATTACATGATTTAGGGTATATGTTCTCAACTAATCCTTCGGACGAATATATCTTGTGAACAACTCATATTTATCTTCTTGTATGACTAATGGAATCCATTTATCAAAGTATCATAATTTGTATTCAAAAACGAGATCCCAAAATAAGTATACCATTTTTAAGTGGAGTTTATTGCAGTTGAAGACATTTACACTTACAATTTTAAAAGACTCATTAAGACAATTTAATTACAAAGGGAGTTTTAGACTTACAATATTATAAGACACTGTAATTTCAATATTGACAAAAAAATAATAATAATAATGTTGTTACTTAAAAAAAAATAATTGAAAAATAAAAAAGAAAGAAAAATATTTTGCCAAAGCTACCATGTCCAAACTATTTAATTTAATGCCGAAAACGTGATTCATGAAATAATTTTCCCCTTAAAATTTAGTCCAAGGAAATTCCATTACTTAAATTTCAAAACTACTTGACATTTAAAGGATATGTGAATAGCCTATCTCGTAAGAGGCATTTCTTTAATTTTTCTTCTCCCCTTTTAATCAAAACAAGAGTTAAAAAATGGTACGACTTCGTTCAGTCTACTACTAGAGTAATTCATCAAAGTAAAAGCCGATTTTATAGTGGATAATTTGTCTATTCTTCTAGGAACAACGCTTTCCTTATATGTCAAGATTGAGTCACTCGACACTCCTCTATGTAGGGTTAAAATAAGTTACATAATCTAGGTTACATGTTGTCAACTAATTTTTTGGACAAATATATCGTGTGAACATGGGACATTTTTCTTCTTTTATGACTAATATGGAATCTATTTATGCAAAATAGCATAAAATCAGTTACAAATCGAGATCCCAAAACAAGTATACTTTTTTAAAGTAGAGTTCATTTCAGTGGAAGATGTTTACACTTACAATTTTAAAAGACTTGATAAAGTCAATTTAATTACAAACGAAGTTTTAGACTTACACTAATATTGCAAAAACCAAAATTACTGTTGTTACTTAAGTAAACAAAAAAAAATTAATTATTGTGCCAAACCTACCATGTCCAAACTACTTCGATTTTGGAAAACATGACCAAGGTAAAAAAATTAATGCTGAAAACATGATACATGAAATAATTTTCAGCTTAAAATTTAGTCCAAGGAAATTCCGTAAGTGGAACACCAAAATTTATAACTTTTTAAAAATTTAATCATTATAAATTACAACTAGAGAGTGAATTTCGAGATCCAAACCTACTCATTATTTTGAAAAGTTAAAATAGAAAGCACATTGAAACTTAACTTCAAAGATTAACTCTCTAAAATAGCTATCGTCTTACATTTCAAGAGTGATACTCTTACTCATTATTATTTTTAGTCATTTCCTACTGTAGCTATAAATAAGTAAACAATTTTTACAAGATAATAATTTACGTGCAAGGGATAAGAAAAAACATTTCAACTATTAAAAGGGTTGATATCTACTTGCATCTCAAAGCGTGTAATTTTTCCTCGGAAAGTGGTATAAAAAATTAAAAATAGATTAAAAGATTAAGATCTCAAAGCGAACAATATTTTTTTAATTACAAGTGGCGATTGTTATAAATTTTGAATTTTACACAAATGATTATATTAATACAAATTATTTTAAAAGACTCAATAAAGACAACAAATGATTAATTAAACTCAAATGGAGATTAGTGTAATTGATGAAACGGGAGTTAATTGTTTCATTGGCTTAATTGTTTCATTGGCTACTGTACTTTACACATCGTCACGGATTAGCCAATGAAGTTAAAGATGCTTCCAAATTGTCATCGAACTTGCTTCCGTTTCACTAAAACGGCCACTGGATGGATTTCGTCTGGATACAGGATACTGGAGAGCATGGGGTGATATTATAGGTGTCAGGAACATTGATACTGACAAATCACCTTCATTTATTTCTCCTCGCTCATGTTGCTATTGCGGTGGTACCACCACTCTTGCGGCCATTTGTCCAATCGACTGAATAGGGATAGGAATTTGTTGATTATCGGTCATTTAATGTTGCTGTTTTTGTTTGTGTTCTTTGCGTCTTCGTCTGAAGGTACGTTCTATCTCCGAATAAAATAGCTCTAGATTGTCACATTGGACACGGAGCATACAATGAACACAATTTTCTGTAAATAAAAGAAAATAAACAAATCAAATAATAGTTAAAAATAAAAATAAATTAAGATTAAAACTAATAGTCCCCCGCAACGGCGCCAAAAAACTTCTTGTATATTTTAGTTTCGCAAGTGTACGAATCATAACAAGTAATAGTGGACCTAAGAGTCCGAATTGTCGATCCCACAAAGACTATTTTCTAACACTTAATTCAATTTTCCTTTAACTACTGTTTCATGAAAACAAATTAAAAGTTATAGTGATTTGAGTTTAAATCTTAATTCTGGACAATAAATAAATGCTCACACCAAAAACTTGTAAGATCAAATAATTAGAAGATGTTAGGGCAGAATAATTTCACATATTGATCACCTTTACATCTCAAATTAAGACTCAGTTCTAATGTAGTGTTCGATCGAATTCTCCTATTGTATTCAATTTACCCCTCTCGAATTCTCATTAAACCAATTCAACTAATTAAATTGCATATCTCTATGCAAATTTAACTTAGTTAAACGAGTTCGTTGTCCTAGGAATTCAATTATGACCGCAATAAATGGCATATGTATCTCTACTCGTTATACCAATGTACTGGATTTTACTACATAGTCTAAATCCTAAACTCATATCTCTATTCGTAAAGGATTCACAAAATTCATCAAATTATTGATCAGATAATTTAATGCAGTCAATTTATAGCAAGAATCAACACGTGGAAAAATTAAAAACCAAGAATTTTAATAAGAAAATATAAAGGATTTCAAATGGGTTATATTATTCGTTTTAACAATGGATTTAGCTACGCATAATAAAAGAAGAGCAACAACAAATTGTCTTAGAGTACATCACTGAATTTAGAATTAAATATGTAGAAGAAAAGGTGGATCTTGCACCAAAAATTCCTTCTTCTTCCAATTTATGCTTCACACGATGAATTTTTCGTTGTTTTCTCCCTTTGAATCTCTCTCCCTTTTTCCCAAGAAGTGTTTCTTGTCTCTAGAATGTGTGTAGAACCTCTTAAAGTGTGAGAATTTTCATATTTATAGGACCCCACCGTGTATGAAGAATAGGGTTTTCTTATGGACTCCAAAATGAGCCGAAATTTCGCTTAGGTTACGGAGTGCCTAGAATGCGGCGCCGCGTCAAATATAGGCAGCGCCACTCTCTTTTTCTCTGGCGCTGCAGCGCCCTAAAGTGGCACCACATTTCGGCGGACAGCACTTTGTTCAGTATTTTTGTTATAACTTTCTCTTCCGATGTTCGATTGAGGTGATTCAAGTTATGTTGGAAAGCTAACTCAAAGGGATACAACTCTGTTTCAGACATCATTCTCCAATTCAATCGTTTGCTATGTCAAAAACGGGTCTCAATGTGAGGCTGGAATTCCGGAGCATAACTTTTCGGTTGGAAATTGATTTGTGATCATATTTTACCTAAATTTGATCTCTTTGACATCTTTCTTCATCCAATTGAATCCTGACACTCTTGGATCTTCATCATGAGGTTCAATACAACTTTTTGAATGTTTACAATTTCGTCCCCAAATTTTGGATCTCTTATAATTTAACCATTTTCTCCAATTTTGCCGACTTTTGCTTGTTCCTTCAATTTCTTGTACCGTCATTGAATTTTACCTATTCAATACAAAATACAATAATTTAAACCATAATTCATCCGAGAAGCAACTAAATATCATTGTTTTAAAGTTTTGAATAAGTGTATAAAATACACTTACCAATTTGCACACATGGAGCTACCAATTATAGAAAACGCAAGAAAGATGAACCCCAAACTCAGATCGCAATGCCAAACCCTAACTCCCAAATCCATGTCAATCCGTTCTACAAATTGAACCCAAAATCTGATATACAAGAACTGAAAACGCGAGAAGGATAGACCACAACACAAATCTCTAACCCAAACCCTAAACCTCAAATCAAAATGTAAACTTTACGTAGAATAAACCCAAAATCCCATTGTTGAAGCTAAGAACCATGAGAAGGCTGAACCATTAAACCCAATATTGCAAAGCCGAACCTTGATTCCCAAATCAATTTCAGACATCCATTGGAGAACTCCCAAAACCTGACATATGAGTTGCATACCGAACGATAGCCAACCATGGGATGAGAAACAAACTGCAGTTTGAGAAACAGAGAAAGCAGTAGTTTGGTATGCAATTTTTCTGTATTATGAAGATTTGTATGCTAATGATTTACAGTCTGATGTGTACATATTAACAAGTGTTAATATGTTTTCCTATAAATGTTGATCCTATCATTGTGAGAAAAGAAAAAATGTAATCAAATTTGGGAGAAATAGTAATTTTTATTTTTAGTGGCATCTATGACCATATTGTGATCATTTTGCTTTTGACATAGAGACATGCTTGTGTATATTTCCCACATTTTTTATTGATTCTTAAGCTAATTGTGGACTCATTATTCTGCAAGTTTATGCAGAAGAGACATAGATATCTTCTTGATACAAGGTATTTGAATTGGCCACAAGAATTGCAAATTGTACATTAAAGGAACTATCCCATGGATGTTGAAATGATGGACGGAATCCATTCGGTGGCCTTTATAGTGAAACGGAAGTAAGTTCAATGGCAATTGGGAAGCATTGTTGAGTTCAGTGGCTAATCCGTGACGATGTGTAAAGTACAATGGTTAATTAAACAATTAACTCATGAAATGACATGAGACATATACTGGAAAGGTTTCTGCATCCAGGATTTTATCTATTCTTTTATATAGTTTAAATTAAAATTTATTAGATGTACTGAAGTTGATGTTTGGCAAATGCTCTTTTATAGATTATAGAAAACGAACCTTGCAAAGTATATGAATACAAAATTGATAAAAACTACTAGTCTTATGAAATATGTAGATAATATGGATAAAAACTCTCATAATTTACTAAATGTGTGAATACAAATTATATTTGACCACTTTCAGACCAACACTGAAAATTGGACATTATTAATGTTTAATTCAAGGAAAGCATAAAAATATTTTAAAGCTATGTTCAACGTTGACATTCCTCATGCACCCTTTCGCAATCCCTTCACACTTAACTATTTGTTTGGCGAAATTTACAAATGATCAAACGTTAGTATTCAACTACACATTCTAATGAATTTACAAATACTATCCACTTATACATCCACCACTCGTTTCTATATATTTATAAATTAAACCCTCTACAACTTCTTCCCAAATGGAGGCTAAGTTTATTTTTTTCAGCTTAAAAATATCTAATTACAGACGAAATCCACAAAATATCCTTTTTCAACTTCTTCCCATTGCTTGACTTTCAGTTAGATTGGGAATAGGTTTGTCCACAATATCCTTGTTCAGATAAAATTAACAAGACAAAAAATATAAAAAAGAGAAAAAAAAATTACCAAAGGTAAAAGATTTTCCCTTTACAAATTTTTTTTTACAATCATATAGAATCACAAATATCATACGATAACTAATGTCATGAGATTTACCATACCCACGAATTTTTATTCTTTGAAACTCACATAGAGAAAAAGAAAAATAAGACACTAGGCTAATGATTTTTCCTCTTTGTGCTTCAATGAATCGCTATAACCATCGAACCTAGATTTATTGCTCGTCTTTTTCGGAGCTGTCAAATTTCTCACTTGGAATTACCTTATGATAGAACTTCATAATGTTTATGTCAACCAATGACATGATAGAAAATGTCTAGAGCAATATTTCAATGGTCGAGGGGCATAAACTCTCCTGGTATTTTTCATAGAAGGCCGGATGATACACGTTTAGTCATAATAATCACAAATTTTTCATTATAAGATTTTTATCCTTATAGAAAGGGTGAAATTTCAAAAGAATCATATAACCTAAACTAAATTAAACATACATAAACATGAAAGATTATTATGGTTGTGAGATTCACAAAATCAGACAAAAACTAGGTGTGTCTACGTACTGGTTAAGAAAAGCTTCAATTTTTCTCATATCTACTAACTTATTAGTTCTTTTTGTTTTTCCTCAGTCATAACTAAAGCCATGAGGACATACACTTGCATAATTAGACATGTTAATTAGGATAAATCCATATATACATAAATATGTATGTAACGCACTAACTTTTAAAAAAAGTAGGTTTACATTATATATTTTACTTAGTCTAAACATGCTCTTACCAAGCTGGATACACATATTTTCAGCAAAACTTTCTGGACAACTATAACATGTAAAAATATGACAATTTATCTTCTTTATTGAAGAAGTAATCCATCTAACCACTCATCTTCTCCATTAAAATGGTAATCCATTTGAATAAACTAAAATAAAATGTATTAAAGATTGAGATCTCACAACAAATAAGATATTTTAATCACAAGTAGAGATTATAGTAATCATTGTACTTATTGTTGACCTCCATATATAAACAAGGGGAATTTTCATAAATGCCACTAAATTTGAAAATGCACAAAAAATAAATTTATTTGTGCCAAATTCTTTCAAAAATGTCACTTTTTGCTGCGAAATGTCCATAATACCTTGCGTGACACCTTTTTAGGAGCATTTAATGCTTGATTAGAATGTCATTAATATTGTGATGTGATGATTTGTTTCGTATATTATAAATATTTGAGATATGATTATTATATGGTTAATATAAATTTTGGTAAAAAAAAAAAAAGAAAGAATTTGAAAAGTGAAAAAAACACATAAATTTTCACTATTCACAAACCATACTTTTTTGTCCATCTTCTTCATTCCATCATCAACAAGTGAAAGCTATTGGATTGATCATTCATTTTCAAATGTTAGCTATTAAAAATTGTTTATGTTTTCATCTTATAGTTTACTATTTTAAATGTTGAATACAATATGATCATATTTATTTGAAATTTTTGAAACTCTTATTCATTAATTTGTTTGATTTTTGACATATTTTTGAAGGAAAAATATGCCAACATCCTTTAGGAAATGTGAAGGATTCCATATTTAATGAAGTATTGAGTTATTCCTTATTTATTTTTGGAAAGAAATTGTAATGTTGTAATTGAGAATTGATTGTCACCATTAATGTTTTCAATAATTTCTTCCAAAAAATCAAAAACATATTTTTCAAGCTTCCCTAAAAATTATGGTAGTTCAACTATCGAATAGTATCTTCAAAATCGTCGGGGTTGGACATTTGAACTGTCGAACTCGAAATTTACAAGATGTCGGGATAGATAATTTAACTGTCGACTTCGACACTTGAAAACTATTAAATTGTTACTCAAATTAGGAGTCTTTGGAAGTGGCAGACAAAAGGAAAGGGAATCAAAGTTGTATTTTTCAAATTAAGGAAAGAAAATCTTATTGGAGCCATGTGGAAATATGAAAGAATCAAATTGGAATCAATTCCAAAGAAATAGGGAAAGTGGCGTGTTCCCTGTTCATGATGTGTCTCGGCAGATTTTTTTTCTTTTTTCTTTGTTTACACATTTCCTTTTTTCTTAATTTCCATCTTTTGCCAATTCCTAGGACTAGACTTGTGTACCATAAATATAGGACCCCTATTTCAATATTGTTGAAACCAATTGCTGTAATTCTCTCCTTTCATATTGATTGAATAAAATAACATCGTTTTTCTGCCAGTTCCCTTTTATTTTGCATCTTTTACTTTAATCTTGTTATTGGTTATGTTGTGATCTTTATTTATACTTCATATTGGGTTCATCAAATCTCAATTCTTGCGTTGTCTTCATCGGTCCCAACAAGTGGTATCAGAGCAAGGTTGCAAGTTCTTCATGATTTGATTGAGGTTTTCAGAGATGGCTTCGATGAAGTACGATATTTCGCTGCTGGATCGCAATACAAGGTTTTCGCTATGGCAAGTAAAGATGAGGGCTGTGTTGACGCAGATGGAACTTGATGACGCTTTGCTGGGTTTTGAGAAGATGCCAGCAAATTGGTCTATGGAAGAGAAGCAATGGAAGGATAGGAAGACTACATCATTGATTCATCTTCATTTGTCTAACAATATACTGCAGGATGTTTTGAAAGAGAAGACAACGGCTACTTTGTGGCTCAAACTGGAGCAGTTGTGCATGACAAAGAGTCTGACGAGCAAACTGACTCTAAAGCAGAAATTGTATTCCCATCGTATGGAAGAAGGAGGGTCACTACATGACCATCTTGCTATGTTCAAGGAAATCGTTGCAGATCTGGAGACGTTGGAGATAAAGTATGATGAAGAGGATCTGGCATTGATCCTGTTGTGTTTATTACTTGGCTCTTATTCGTCATTTCGTGATGCTATATTATATAGTCGTGACAAGCTAACCATTGAGGATGTATACGACGCCTTGTTCTCAAAGGAGAAGATGGAGTTGTTGGTTGGAGATTCTACATCTAGGGGTGGGGATGCTCTTCTTACTCATGGTGATCGACGGAGGGGTAGATCGAAGGTGAGGTACAGCAATATGTTGACCTAATGGTTGACTTCTTGTTTTGATTATCACAAACAAATTGCGTTTAATTCTAACAAATTGAATTTAAATGATTGATAGTGATTATTACAAATTTATGACTCAAAAAATCTAGATCAAGAATCATGCAACCTTGGCACAAAACGACAAACACACAAGCAAGATTGAAGATTTATGAACGAGAAAATGGAAATCGAGCCTTTACGCACAAAATCGCATTGGATGAAGAAATTGAAGACATGAGCTATAGATGCATTTCTATACTCAAATGTAAAGGTAAAACATTTTAATATTTTGCACCGATTATAGCTCAAACAATTTTTATGCACGAGAATTATCATGACAAACTTTACATGGATAAAAATTATTTTTAAAATATAAGTAATTTGATTTTTCACAATTAAATCTTTATGAAATTACTTATCTATACGAAGTATATTAGAAAATTCTACAAGTACCTTAAAGAACATTTTTCACGAAAAAGAAAAATTCGATGGGCAAAATAATTGGCCCATCCGGACATCCGGATGTGGTGTTCAACGGTGGAATTTTTTACCATTTGGCAAACGACTAGTTAACCGTCCGGATACCAAGCAAACGTCCGAATCACTTGTCCGGATCCTGATTGGTGGCTTTAAATACCTCTCTTTATACCTTTTTTAATGCAAGAATCCCCTTCTGACCGTCCGGATGTGGCGTTCAATGGTCGGATTTTTTACCGTTTGGCAAATGACTAGTTAACCGTCCGGATACCAAGCGAACGTCTGAATCACTTGTTCGGATCCTGATTGGTGGCTATAAATACCTCTCTTTATACCTTTTTTAATGCAAGAATTCTAGAACATTAAAGAGAGTTATTTATTGATCTTATCTACCTTGTTTTTCAATCTTTAAGAGATCAAAATATTTATTTGTTGAAAAACTGTTTGAATGAGTAACTTTTTGAAAAATCATATATCTCAATAAAAGTTTTTCACACAACACTTGAGCTATATTCTTTGTGATTTATTGAAGTGTTGTACCTAATTCTCTCTTGATATTTAGTTGTGTTCATATCATTTGTTAAGAGAGAAGCTTTTCAATTGTAACTTTGATTTTCTTGTTCATAAAATTGTGGGTCATGTTGAGGTCGCAGAAAGCTCAACGTATAAAAGGATTGGTGCTCCTTAATTGTAAGTCATCGGAAGCGTTGTAAGGGTTGGATTGCACCATAAGTCAATCAAAGATAGTGAAAAAGGACTTGCTCGTGACGGAGAGCTTAGTAACGGGGGACATAGATCGTGATTGGATCGAACCTTCTTATTACATCGTTTGCACTCTCTTTTCCCTTCCTCTTATT